TATTGCCCCCAACAACAAGAGTCCTCATTTTACCCACTTCGGAAGGATGGAAGGCTGAGTCAACCCTGAGCCGGTGAGATTTGAACAGCCGAACCGCAGAACTGCAGTCAGCTGAAGTAGCCTGCAGTGCTGCATTTAACCACTGCGCCACCTTGGCTAAATAGGTACAACTTTGATGGGTAGGTCACAGCATTCCATGCACCTCAGCATGTAGCCATGGTGGCCACATGACCACAGAAGCTTTTTTGGACAAAGCTGATTCCCTCAGCTAGGAAACAGGAGATAGGCATCCCACCATAGAGTCTGATGCAACTGGAAAGGGGAAGCCTTTACCTTTTTTTAAAAATCTCAGTCTTTGACCACAATTGGATTCAGAATTTCCATTGCTAAGCAAGGTAGTTATTAAATGAATTGTACCAGGTTTTACTATCATTTTCACCACCATTATTAAGTGACTCACCATAGTTGTTAAATGAAACATGTGATATTAAGTGGATCTGACTTCCCCTCTTGACTTTGCTTGTGGGGAGTGGGCTAGGAAGGTTGCAGATGGCAATTACTTGACCCCAGGACACTCTAGCCATTGTAAGTTTATATGCCACCCAAAGTCACTTGATAGTGAGATGGGCTGCACATAAATAAATAAATGCTGGCTTTTGTGCCAAAATTTTGATCTCATGACTGGGGGGATGTTACAACAGTTGTAACATCTGGGCAGTCCAGTCCTTTTTTTCAATGCTTTTCTAATTCCAAATGGTTGCTAAATGAATGGTTATAAGTGGAGGACTACCTGCACATCTATCTTAAGTCTGTTGATAGATCCAGAAGTAGGAATGCACAGTGAAGTTAGGAAGTAATTGGCGTAAGCATCTTTAAGTAAACTCACTGTATTGTAAGTTACTCAAGCAGTCTGGCTATGAACTATACACAAAGAATAGGATAGGATACAGTGGTGGGACTCAGCTGGTTCACACCTATTCGGGAGAATTGGTTGTTAACATTCTAAGCAGTTCAGAGAACCAGTTGTTGGAAGAAATCTCCTTTGGTGTTTTTCCACTTTCCAGGGCTAATCCTGGAAGGAAGGCAGGAAGGAAGCATTCTGTTGTTTCTAGCCTCATTTTGAATGCTCTGCTTACAGAAACTGCCTCTCCAGTTAACCCTTACTGCATTGTAACAGCTAAGGCAAAGCACCCATTGACCTGAATGACGTTGAGTTGACCATGCCCACCCAGTCACATGACCACTGAGCCTCGCATACCCAGCTGGTCATTAGGGCAGAGAATCGGTTGTTAAATTATTTGAATCCCACCACTGATAGGATAGATAGGATAGGATAGGATAGGGCAGGGCAGGGCAGGGCGGGGCGGGGCGGGGCGGAGCGGGGCGGGATGGGACAGGACAGGACAGGACAGGATAGGACAGAATAAAGTAGAAACTTTATTGTCACTTTAAANAGTGCGTAAAAAAATTTATTCACAGCTTGATAAATCTAAACTTTTAAGGATTGTAGCATTTATGAAATGACAAATATTAAACCATATATATATATATATATATGTATGTATGTATGTATGTATGTATGTATGTATGTATGTATGTATGTTTACACACACACACACACACACGCACACTTGTAGATTTTCACTGGTATAGGTATGCAGGTCTTGGCGTATTTGGATCTTTTCCTGTGTAAGATTGACAGTATCTTGGTGACATATCGATGAGGCACCAGCCTGAAGATGAGTGTGACCTCGTCGAAACATCGCCAACATACATACATACATACATACATACATACATACATACATATATGCAGTGTACAAATATAATAAAGCGTATTACAAGAACTCAAAATACGGAACTCAATTTTTTTCAGCAACAAACTTCTACTTTAGAAATGCAATATATGAAGAAAACAAATTGTCAGGTATTATGAATGGTAAAATCTGTCTTTTAATTTAAACATAAAAGGCACAGGAAAAGAAATCAAATGATCACCTTGGTATACATTAATTTTTTACATATAAACAAATAACTACTGTCGCTGATCTCTTCAAACCCATAACTCTGGAGATGTGAATAATATAAACAATAAATATTCTGCATCTGGAATAATAACTTATAAATTAATCTATAGAAGAGTTAATGAATCAATATGGCAGTAATAAAGTTTGTTACTGAGCAGAAAGAGACAAAAGGCAAGCACAAACCTACCAAGTGGAATATATATAGTTATTAGTGTATGCATTTTAGTGGTTTTAGAAACTACTATTGCTTTGGTAGCAAAGGTGCAAGAGATGTTCAGCTTTTGTTGAGCAGCTGGCAGCTCTGGTTAATTTTGTCAGTCCTTAGAACCCAAATAAGGTTAGATCTGAGTAGTACTTGGGACAGAATCCAGTCAGTACTGTAGCTGTAGTCTAGACTGAGAAGTGGGAAAAAGATACTGGAAGAAAACTGTCATGCACCTTTTATAGTGTTCAAAAAAAAAAAAAGTGGGAGAAACTAACTTGGTTTTTTCATATCCATCAAGGGTTTTTTGTTTTTGTCAAGCTTGACTTGAAGGAAATGAACTTTTAAAAACAAAATAAATAATTTTCAGTACTGCAGTTCTGGTTTTCCTTTCTACTATAGCAGCAGCTGCTAGAAGCCATCATGTTGTCTATGTGTGTCTATGGTATTTCATTGTTAATGCATTGCAAGAAAACTCGTTAGGAAGCTTAGAGCATGACTAATAGAACAAAATGAAGTTCAACTCAAGGAGATACCTTGAAGTAAATACTGCTGCTCCCTGATTTACAGTACTACATTACTACACTGAAAATGGTTATGAATCAGACACTTGTGAGAGAGACATGTCTGCTTTATCATACAAATGTAATCATCATTCCAAAGCAGTTTTTGTCTTATCAGAAAAACAGCTTTATGAGAAAAGTTTTCTAGTCTCAATGGTTAGAAACAATTAAGGACAAGGATTTTGGGGGGATTAAACCATACTGGTAATAGTAACATTTTTGAATAATGGTGTCATCATTTTCAGAAGTTATTAACTCTGATAAACTGAATTTAATTAAATTACAACAATGGAATGTTTCACATACTTCAGAAAGATATACTTTGATTGGAATGTGAATTTGCATTGATTCAGCCACAGAAAGTATCCATGCTATCTGTATTTTACAAATCAGAACACTAAATTACCAATTATTAATTTTACACAATTTAAAAATTAAATAGCTACTTTGTATTAGAAGTGCTTATCATTTTCATTTGGAACAACAGTGTAACCTTAAAAATGCAAACCTCTGCATTTCGGTGTCCAGCGTTTTAAAATAAAGAAAGAAGTCTTCAATGCTTCCAAATTTCTATAATTAAATAGGTCATTACTGCCATGATAAATTTTATTTATAATGCTTTAGCTTTATAAATAAAATGCTTTCAAATGTAAAACATTGTGCTTGAGATTTAATCTCAGTAAAACACCAGGATGAATAAAGAAAAAATAGATTCCAAAGTTTATTTAATTTTCAAAACAAATTGAACTGAAAAAAAGTAACTGTTAGGGATGCTATAGCTGAATAGTAGAACATATAGTGTGCTTTCACTATGTCCCGTCCTCAACATTTCCAGATAAATCTGGAATTGCATGAAATACCAGAGAAGTGGGAAAGTAGTGCCAAGGCTTGGAACATTGGGCTATATGGATCAATAGACTGACTCAGTGTAAGGCAGCATCCTATGTTTCTTGGGAAGCCATAGCAGAATTCCTATTCCTAGTTTCATATTTCAAGTACAAAAGTGCTGATCAGATTTCCTGCTAAAATTATGCTAATGAAGGTATAGCGGTACTTTGGTACTCAATTGCTTTGAAACATCAAATTTGGTACTCAATATATTTTGATGTGAAAATTTTGTCCTGGTATTCATCGTTTGGTACACAAGCTAGAACTTGTCTGTATTGGCTGCCTTGTGACTCACTATATTATTCCTTATGGGAAAAATCAATTTGGTACCCATCATTTTTGGTACTCATTGCACCTCCTAGAATCAATTCATGAGAAGTACCGAGGTACCACTGCATTAAAAAAAAAAATAACCCAAAGACTGAAATAGGACAATTGATTAAAACATTAAGCTGTAACACTGTATTTAATGAAGGGTGCTGTATGCTTAAACCTAAAAACAGACATAATAGAACCATTCAAGTATAAACATTTAAAAGGTAGATTATAAAAATTGCACTTACAATTCAGTTCAGATAGCAAACCACATTGTTAGCCAACCATATTTTTTAATGGACATAAATAGCGTAGATTCTTTCTTTTTTATAGAAATCTGGAGCTTAGTCACCAAGAGCAGTCACTGTATCATTTCCTTATTGTAAAAGGAGGATTTGCAGCAGCAGCAGCAGTGATTACAAGATTGTGCACAATACAGGTTTGTAGGTTTCCCAACTTCAATCGTTCTGCTAGGCACCCAATGGCCAATTTCATTATCTCACTTGTTGATCAACACCAGAAGTTTTTTGATCTGTTGCAGAAAGTTCTAAAACAGGATTTACAAATCCAGCATATTCTGAATTGCCGTTATCATCCATTTCTGCACTAACGAAGTCATTCTCCCATTCCAAACCAGTAGAATCATCAGATGTAGAAGTTGGGTTACTTCCAGTTTTCTTGCCATTAAATTTCAATGCTGCCCGGAGAATATCTTCTTCAGTTTTTGAACGTTCTCTCAAAGGGATCATTCTGTTTATACCTGCCATTGAAAAAATGTTTTTAATAGAATCCTTGACCTTAACCCTAACCCTTGAATCCTTAGAAGTTGTCTTTCCGTGGTTCTTAGGTTTCATGTAGATACATCCTGAGTCAAATAACTACAATTTCTTTTGCAAAATATCTAATATTGGGAGGCAAATCCATGTAGCAGCCAGGAAATGATATGGTACTTCAAACATTTAATACATCAGCATCAGAGGTGGTATTCAGCAGGTTCCGACCAGTTCTAGAGAACCAGTAGTAGAAATTTTGAGTAGTTTGGAGAACCGGGAAATACCATCTCTGACTGGCCTTCATCTATTCTCTGCCTCCCGAGTCCCAGCTGGAGGAAATGGGGATTTTGCAGCAACCTTACCCTGGAGTGGGGAGGGAATGGAGATTTTTAAGGTATATTTCCCCTGCCACGCCCACCAAGCCATGCCACGCTCACAGAACCAGTACTAAAAATTTTTGAATCCCGCCACTGATCAGCATGGCATAAATGTTTATGGAACAGAAACCACATCACCAATAGCTAAGTTTATTGTGGTTTCAGAATTCAGCTTTCAAACAAGTTTTTGACAAAACTTGTGATGAAAAATATATTAAGAAAATCAATCAATCAATTTTATTTACAGCAAAAAGGCCAAATGAGTAAGTTATAAACTCAATCTAAATTAATATATTAAGAAAATAAACTCATAGTGAATGCTATGACAAAAATTAATCTTAATCTTTTAAAATCCTACCTATCTTATTTTTCTGCAGCTGTTGTCTTAACCAGCCTATAAAGACATTTGAAAACTGTTTTCTATTAATTCTAACATTAAAAAACTTTATTACACAAGTCTACTTTCTCTTACCTTCCATGCCTCATTTTTTCTTGTGTGATTATATTTAAGCAATATAACTATGCAGAACATTCTCTGTACTATGTAGAAATATATAAATAAATAGCCAGGTACTATAACCTTTCCTCTGCAAGTTCTGTGAGTCCAATGCAGCAGCAACATGCTGATTTTTTCTAACAATATATTTTTTAGTAGCAAAAATGTTTTATGGTTAAGGAAAATTCATTTTGCAATGCAAATAGGGGAATACTGGTAGTCCTCGGTTAATGACAATAATTGGGATCTGAATTTTTATTGCTAAGCAATGTGGTCATGAAGCGCGCCATCACATAATCATATTGCTTAGCTTCTGAGGTCTTCCAAAGCTTTGTGAGAATGGGGCATGCTATTCCACAAGAGCATGGGCAGGTCTAGCGTGGCCACTGCTACTTCCCATAGGGTCGGGTCAGGCATATCTACTTAGGAGTGGAAGGAAGACAGCTAAGGTCAGTTGGGTGCAGTAGAGCAGAGTGCCAGGGGCTTTATAGTGTGACACATGGGTGACTGGCTGTGGCATGGGGCTTGAGGCATCCCTCCTCAGTAGTGGCTAAATTGAAGTAGAGGCTCAAAGACAGTAGTGGCCATCTGAGATGCTGGAGGCCCTGGACCTCTACTTCAACCCTAACATCATCACTGCCAAGGAGTGCCACAGGAAGGGAGATAGGTGGTGGTGGTGGTTTGAAGGGACCCTGCAGTTCTAGATGTGATTAAGCTGCCAAGTACCTGAAATTTCAGGAACTGGGTGTAGGTACCATTTGTTCAGTGCTACTGTAACACTGAATGGCTGATAAACAAACTATCATAATTTGGGGGCTACCTCTATAGTGTGTGTCTAAATATTCTGCTATTGTGGACGACTAACTATTTAAAAATATGGGGGAGGGCACCCAAACACTTTCTTCCTATGTTTCTATTTTTAAAAACATGGGAAGTCATGCTTCTCAATGAATAAGATAATGCTTATAATTACATTTGTATATGCTTTGCTTTAAAGGCCTTTTAAAATTTAATTTTGTACTTAAATGTATTTACCATTTGAATTATTTGGTATTCCATGCCATGTCAAGAATGTTATTTTGTCTGAATCTCTGAGTTCTAAGTCTTTCATATCAATGAGGATGATGTTGCATCTCTTCTTGTACTAGGAGATTCATATTCGACTTGATGGTGGATAATCTGACCACAGAAACTATATACCATCAGAAAAGTTGCCAGGTAGTGAACATAAGGAGCAAGGATTGAGGGACTGAGCAGACTGTAACCAATGAATACAGAGGGACTACAATTGTGCAATTGGTCCACAGGCCACGAGTTTCACTACTATAAATAATAGAACTAGGATACAACTAGAAACTAGCTCCAAAACACTTGTAGTTCTCAAGATCCATAGCATGTTCATCACAAGCGTTTGGGAAACTCAAATTTTACATGACTAAATTAACTTAGGTATTTCAAAATTTATATTACTTGCCCAATGTTTATATACCTGCAAATCCTCAATCCAGTTTAAGTTTACCTACTGCAATTTCTTCTTTATTCATGCTTCCCTCAGATGGATTGGTAATCTAGATAGTTTATGAAATTTCAAAAGCAATAATGCAGTTTTGATTTTTAAAACCCAACAGTGTCTACTGTGTTGAATTAGTTTTGGATTACTTTAGATCAATTAAACAATTTTTATAGGATAGAACATGTACCTTCTTCATCTTCCCATTCTAAATCTAAGGAATTACTGTCATCATTTCCACTTGTAGATTTGGTTTTGGTCATTAAATCACAACTGCTCTCTGTATTTGGTGTTAGAACAGTGGCATCTGATGAAAGTCCTGTAATAAAAATAAATTAAATGTACTTGAACAGAAGAGGAGAGGAATAGGAGGGAAAAGGATAGGAAAAATAATTCCTCATTTGCACACTGAAAAATTCTCAACAAATTTTTAGAATTTACTTTAAAAAGTAATAGGATTTTTAGTAAAATGAATTATTTACAACATTATTGTTCAATTTTTTGAATCATAATAAACAGTTAAATGAATATTTTAGCAATATTAATGTTTAGTCAACTAATGGACTGGAGTTCCTAAAAACAAAACTTGGTTCCATAGGAACTTCTTATAAAGGAAAACAATCTTTACTCCCTAAAGCCATCTATATAGTGGGGCAAAAAAGTATTTAGTCAGCCACCAATTGTGCAAGTTCTCCCACTTAAAA